TTGGTAAAACGTGATTTCTTCTCCTGAGGTGGAGGGTTGGTACTAGAAAAATACCTTTCATCAGGGCTAAAGCAGCTTCTGTGGCATGTGAGAGAGAGGTTTCCATGTATGAGACCCACAAGGCTGCTACCTTCAGTTAACTTCAGACATTTGTACAACGTTAGTCTCTTGATTTGACAGCTTCAGGAGAGGCCCACTTCAGAACAGTCGTGCCCTCCTCAGATCCACCTTGTTAGATGGTGGTTGTTGCTAGCAACAAGTGTGCAGGTTTATATTGACAATTCTTGAAAGTTCCAGTGATATCTGTCTCCGCGAGGATTCAGATTTGACACCAATTGTGCGTGTGCACCCAAGTAGTGTAGATCAGTACTGGCGATCTTTTTCAGGTGCCAGCGTTAGCAGAAAGCAGGTTTTCTTTGTTCATGCCAGTTTGCCAAGATTCATACTTTTACTTGAATTCTTTACTATACACTGAACAATATTTTCTACATAAGGTTGTTCCTATTTGTATCCCAAGCATGAGTTCAAAGTGTATTTCAATATCATGAGCTAGGGTTTTAAATTACATAAGAAATATTTGATGAGCATCTAAGGAATATAGGATTTTTCTTATTGACAAGGTGCAGAATTTGTAATAAGACCATTACTAGTACTCACGTGACATATGCATCTTTATATCTAATTGGTTTAATACAGTATTTTACAAATATCAGTATTTTTTTACAAGGGTAAAAATACCAGTTCTTATTAATTCCTTGAGATGAATATGTTTAGTAAAACTCGTTCTGAATAAAGCACAATTTCTAATTGCATTGAACATCTGCAGGCATTGCTGCCTAAGGGGAACACTCACTCTCACATACCTTTAAAAACAAGTAAATATCCAGTTAATGGGTCCTTCCAGAAAGTGAGGGGGACACAATTAATAGCTAGATGTGAAAATTTTGGTTACAGTAACTTGCCTAGCATTATATGGGAAATCTGTGACAGAGGCAGACATAGAATTCTTCTGTCAACCTAGTGCTGTTGACACTGGGGTTAGGTCAGTTTAACTAGGTCATTCAGGGGTGTGGATTTTTCACACCCCTAAGCAATGTAGCTGGGTCGACCTATTTTTTTAGTGTAGACCTGGTCTAAGTCTCAGGAACTGTTGTAATTTTGAAATTGAAGTAGCTGGCTGGATTGTGCTGCCAATCTAGAACAAAGGTAGAGCTATCTCTCAGAACACGTCGCCTTTTTGTGTCCTTCAGAAAATCTTCAAAGGCATTTAAAAGGCAGGTATACTGATAAGGCATAGGATAAATTACTTCTATTCTTACAAAAGGGGGAAAAAAATCAGATGTTGTGAATATGGTAGGGGCTTTATTACAGCCTCCATCCAAGTCCTTTTAACAGCTTTGTCATCATCCATGACAAGGGCACTCAGAAGAGCAAGAGCTGTGATGGGGACCCTCTTTGGGACCCTGCATTTGTGACCTGGGTAGGCTCTGAAATGCTTGATTTTGTAACAGAGGAATTCTTAAGGGCTGGCTCTGAGAGTGATGGGGTTACTCTGAAGGACTAGTGCTGTAACAAGCTCTCAGAAGGAGAGTGACAGGAATATTCTTAGACTCAGAACTAGATGATGCAACCCTGTGAAACTCTGTGGACGAAAGACTCTGAAAGGTTCAGCTTCAGCTGGATGCACTCCATAGGATTATGGAGGTTGACAAGCCGTACTTTGAAGGCACTGTGTTCTGAGAAGTGCAATCTCTGTGTGAGACTACAAAGAACACGGTTTTTGAAGAGCATATATTATAGAACTTAGTAAAGATGACTTTCTAACTGCCCAAGGAAATAGATTTTGACTACATCTTTTTTGAAAGGCTTTGATGTTAAAATCAGTCATCCTGAAAAATAATCTTGTTGGTACTGAAGCTCTGCATGTATTTACTGGTCATTTGAAAATAAGATTCTCTGTCAGATATATAGGTGTGTATTTGTAAACTTGTGTAAAGTATATGTGTCTCTGTATGTTCTGTACAAACACCTCTGTGTTTATAGGCCCAGAAATATCTATATGAGTTCATATAACTCAACTTAATACAGTATTTACCTACCAAAAACTACATCAGAAGAATGTTCCCTTTGTGACACAAAGCAAAACAAGAGTGAAATGTGCCGTGGCCGCCATTTTCAAACTTGGGGCCTAAATTTAGATACCTAAATTTAATGGGAGCTGCGGGTGCCCAACACCTCTTATAAATCAGAGTACTTATTTACGTGCCTAACTTTAGGCAACCAGTTTTGATAATTTTGGACTCATATGTTCCTCAGACCTGGAAAAACAGATATGAGTACAACCATTTGTGCGCTGATATTAGTGGGTATGTTTTCCCACTTAACTTTAATATCCTTATTATTTCTTTCTGTTATGAATATAACATTTCTTTGAAAGTAATTCCTGATGAGTTTTTCAATTTATTTAGGCTTATTTTAGAAGTCTATCTAAATGCTCCAGACACCTCTGAAAATACTTAACAGTACAATGAACCGGAAAAAAAGCTCAATAGCCCAATGCTGTTAATTAATATATATATTTTATTTTTTTGTTTAAACATTATGTCTGATAGGATATTGTGGTGAGATTCAGGAATAAATTGAGATCCACCAATTCATTTAACATAGGCCACTGAACAACCACTAGGTCAGAATAACCTTAGCATTGCATATGTTTTAAAAACTCTAAATACAAACACTGAAAAGCAGGGGGTTCTCAAACTTTTTTTGCTGGGACCCCCCCCCCTTGAAAATGTTTCAGGCTATTACAACCCCCCTCAAAAAGTGAGAATCCCCTCCCTCCCCCCATACCACCCCATCTTTACTTCTGCACTGCTGCTGGCGGTGGTACTGCTTTCATAGCTGGGCACCCGGCCAGAAGCCACCGCTCTCATGATTCCTCTACGATAGTCCTCCTTTTGGATTGGAACCCCCAGTTTGAAAAACACTGCTGAAAAGGAATCCAGCATTTGGAAAGGTACAATTCCACACTAATATTTGTATTAAAAGTTAACATACTAATGTCTATCATTTTAGATCGTGTGAAGTCTGGTGTTGCAAAGTCATTTGTGGCAGATTGGGGTCTAATGGGGCTATGTCACTCCCTCTTGCTCTCATCTCCACCCCTCAAATTAATAGTTCTTTGAGGTGCCTCTGCATATTCTCCGTTTGTGAAATCATGTCACCTTCACTGCAAGTCTCCAACATCTTCTAGTGAACATTGTCCACTGGGGCCATTCACTCCTCCCTCCTTTTCCTCTTATGGAAGCTTTTGATGATGTAAAAGCGTGAGTGTTGCCAGCCACCTTTAGTTTCTAACTACCAGAGGTACAGCATGCTCAGGTTGTATGCAGTATCCTTAATGCTTTCTTTTGCCATTTGGGGAATATTTGTGTTTTTCTTCGATTGTCAGTTAATTAGCTTTTCTTAAGTTGAAGAAAAAGAAAAGAGGATGCCTGTTCAGCATGGGCATTGCCTGAACTCACGAAGGTAGGAAGGCTGTCTAATGCCCCTATCCCTGGAGAAGGCTTTTCAGGTTCAGTCAACTAAGTCTGGCATTCAAGACATTCCAAAAGAAAGGAGGAAATCATCCACCAGACTCCTTTCTAGGGTGAAATAGGAAAGATTCTCCATCTTGGATACTTAGCAGGCCTTATCCTTCATATCCTGGACTAGTTTCTTCATTTGAAGCTAACAGGAAGACCGTCTGTTCAATTAAGTGTTAGTTCTGTGTGCAATGTTGGTATGTTATCTTTCCAGGCTTCACGCTATTTTCACTCCCCACAATCAAAGGCCTGATCCATGCTTACCCACCAGTTCGAGAGTCACCTCCATCATGACTGGCATCTCTCTTGGAACCCACAAAGGACTGCTCATTTTACTATTTTTATTCTTTCTCAAACCTGCTTTCCTGGTGACCATCACTTCAGCAAGAAGGGTTAGCGAGTTTCCAGCTCTGCTTGCGGATCCACTTTATAGAGCGTTCCATGGGGATAAAGTGCAGCTAAGATCCCTTCCAAAATTCCTCTCCACCTCACAAATGAAAAATGCTATGCAACTATTGACAGCTAAGGGTTGTCCAACAATTTGTTTATAATGGTGTATGTTTTTATTAGTGAAGATAAACTCATGATATGTACCCTGATTTATTAAAGCACTTAAGCATTTGTTTATGTCCCCTGGAACATGGGCAAGAACAATCTCTTACTGTGTGTTTATGCAATACCTAGCACAAAAGGGTCCCAGTCTTAGTTGGGGTGTCTAGTGTTACAGTAATAAAAAATAATAATAATGTTACTTATGTAAAAGACAACATAGATCTTGCTAGCACTCTTCCTAATTCCATTTGACCTATAGCATCAATAATGTTTTTATAAGTAACACTTATGAAACTCTGACAATTTTTTTAAATTTGAAACAGTTCAATAATAATCATGTATTTGTATTTAGTGCTGAATATTTATCTGGCATTTAGAAACCATAGACCCTGGTTTTCTAATGAAATCTGCCATAATCACCTTATGTTCTAGCAAAGTCCCACGGAACTGTGGTAGAAAGGATGGCTTGATCAAATGATGAAAAAATTGAATACTCCTCCTCACATCAAACCCTTCATCTTTCCTTCTGATTTGTGACTTGTACAGTAATATTTCACCTCCCAATTCTGTAAAGAGCTAGGTAGATCAGAATGCTTTAATTTATTTAACATTTTCCCCATGTGCTACAAATCAAAGCACTAAATCATCCCAGGATTAACGACATAGGGTTTTTAGAATACTTTTATATTACCCCTTCATTATATTTCATTATAATAATGGCATTAGCTATTCATAATGCTCAGTGAGATTCACATCTGAGCATTTTGGTTGTAACTTTGTTGGGAGCCATATATGATTCAATGTGTAATGAGTGTAGTAATCAGCCCAGTGAACTCCTAATGTAATCTCTTCCTTTTCTTTAAGGACAAAAAGAGTTATTCCTGTCCTGTGTGTGAGAAGTCATTTTCTGAAGATCGACTTATAAAATCACATATCAAGACAAATCACCCTGGTAAGACACACCACAATAACATTTCTATATCTAGTACAACAGAGGAAGACTGTCCTGGAGTAAGCAATATAACACGATTGCTCTGTGTAAAAAAATTACATCTTATTCTAAATTAGTTCAGTTAGAACTTCAGTAGAGTTTTCAGATCTTTAGGGATTGGATTGTAAACATACAATACACTAGTTTGTGGAGTGGGGACACAGTAAAAGGGCATGTTGTGTGATATTTATGGACTTTACACTGCAACATGCTGAGTCCTTTGTCCCTGATTCAGCATAGCACTTAAGCATCTGAATTGTCCCATCAAAGTAAATTAAACCATTTGTGTGCTTAAATGCCACTGTTGGATTGGGTTCTGAGTGCTCACCACCTTGCAGGATCCAGCCCTTCTTGTCTGTTAAATAAAAATCTAGCTTTTCATGGTGATACGCTTTGACAATTCTGCATGCTAGTGTCTATTCTATTTATACATCAAGGGATATTTATTATTCAGTAATATCTACTGTTCAAGCCAAAAAGGGCCCTGATATAAAAAAGGATGAATCACAGTGGCCCTGTCTAAACTTTGTAAATAGGTACATTTAAAAAAAAAAATCTTAGCTGACACATTTTTATTTACACATCTTTAAACACTGCTTAGCACCCCAGCATAGACATTGTTGAACACCTTTTAATAACATGTTAGCTGGTCATGGCCAAGCCTCTAGTGTGTGTGTGGTTGGGGGAACCAGCTAGTTTAAGCATAACTGTCTGAAATACAGCACAACAGGTCAGGCCATAGTCCAGTGTAATCCTACTGATAGTAGTCAATACGGGATGCTTACTTTCAACAATAATCACTGCAAGATTTTCCCTACCTCTGAGTCATATCAGCACCACATGCTCTGTATTACTGTTGTTAATTTGTATTGTGGATGGTGCCCAGAAGCTCCCAATCAGAAATGGGGACCAAATGTGCTAACTGGTGCAAACATGTGATGAGACATGGAGTGGGTAACATTTTCAAAAGCACCCAGGTCCCACTGAATGTCAGTTTGACCCATCATTCCTACCCTGATGCGGTCATGGTGAAAAGAAAGACAAAGAAGCATGAAGGGTGAGGGAAAAGGGTATAACAAATATATATACAAATTATTGTAGACAAATATACAATTGTTTTCTTAAGTAGTATACTATATACATTAGTACAAGCCATCCCAATTGCTTGAAAACATAGTCATTGTTTATTTTCTGAATCGTTTTGCTTATGTGTGTACTGGAGGATGAGCTGGTTGGTCAGGAAACATTCTGTAAACGGCTAGCCCAGTGCTGCATACTTAACTAATAAAAATCTTAGTATTTTAAGGCCTATAATTTTTTTCCTTAGATGAAGAGTGTATTCTATCAGAACTTTGCAAAAATTACAGCATGTTTAATAGAGACACTTCAGTGATATATTTAAAGAAACGTTATGTCTAAGATACACAGAACCTTTGCAAGCTAATATACAATAAAAGGCTATTTGTAATTAGATTTTAAAAGAAAAATATTTGAATAACACTTTCCCAGGTATCCTCTCTTTGTGGTCATCAGGGATTATTATTATTCTTTTATCGCAAGCATATTACCATTCAAAACAAAATTGACATTAAGGGGTGTTAAATGTCCTGATAGCATAAAGTGACAAGTGCTGGAACTGAGTGAATGCAATTGTTTTTAAAAATGCAGAGGCAAGAGAATAAAGATGACAGGCAAAACAAGATAATGTTCAGAGAATTTGAGTTTTAGAAGAACTTATCAAAAATTAATTTAAACCAAAACCATTTCTTATTTATCATAAAGTAATATTTCTGACCGCTTCTCCCTCCCCTATGACTCTGATGTCAGCCAACCTGCTCTCAGTCTTCACTGTTTTTCTTGTTCAGCAAGCAGAAAACCTGATGCTTTTGCTTCACCAGCCAGCACTTCTGCTTGTTCCACGTTTCTGGACAAGAGGTGTAAAATCCAGGCCCGACTGACGTCACTGAGGCTAGGATTCCATTTTAGATTCTTTAGGATTCCACCTGTTCTCAATGCTTAAAGTTTCTGATCACAATAAGAGTCATATACACACAACATTTAACTATTATAATTTAGTGCCATGTAGTAGGAAAGTATTGAAAGTCCAGCATTGATAATTGGAACTTTTAAAGAACATTAGGTAATGTCTCTTAGCATGTGCGGTTAGGTAATTTTTTAAATCATAAAGCCTAACTATTTAAAGCTATTTTGACATTTCTAGAGTATTAGGCTATTCGTTTTTTCCTTTTAAATGAAAGACCAGATTTTCAGAGGGGTTGAATGACTACAACTCAAACTTAAGTGTAGAGAAGCTGCAGGTGATCAGCACTTCTGAAAATCTTAAGTGAACCCTTTGACAAATGTTGTAAACCTGTTCAAAGACATTGAAAATTATAAATATTTGCATATAAATGTTGCCTTGTTACTTATTGGTGTGCTGAGAATATTCATAGCTGGAAAATGACTTCTGACCTAGTGGCGCACGCAGGCTCTAATTTGACAATGAAGCAGTAAGTTATTGCGGGGATACACAGTGAATAAGTCCGTGTTTAATGCAGGAAACATACATAAATTAATAAGGCTGTTTTCTTTGAGCTGGCCTTGTCATGTGGAAAGTTTAAAAAAAAAAAAAAAGGTACAAGTAGGAACAATCTAGATCTGCAATATTTTATTTTATATAATATGTCTCAGAGCAAATTCTGTGCATGCCTGTCTGGAATGCCTTGTTTTTGTGCATATTTTTTCCAGAGGTCTCAATGAGCACCATCTCAGAGATTCTAGGCAGGAGGGTTCAGTTGAAAGGATTAATTGGAAAACGAGCTGTGAAATGTCCCTATTGTGATTTCTATTTTATGAAGAATGGATCAGACCTTCAGCGTCATATTTGGGCTCATGAAGGTAATGATGTTCAATTTTAAACTTTAATCCACATTATTTATTTATATATTTTATATTCCTTGCTTGGTCCCTTAATTAATATAGTAAATAATAAATTGAAAGCGAATGACATTTCCATCCTCATAGAATATCAGGGTTGGAAGGGACCTCAGGAGATCATCTAATCCAACCCCCTGCTGAAAGCAGGACCAATCGCCAATTTTTGGCCCAGATTCCTAAATGACTCTTTCAAGGATTGAACTCACAAGCCTGGGTTTAGCAGGCCAATGCTCAAACCACTGAGCTATCCCTCCCTCCAAAACTGGTGCACTAACCAATTGCGCCACTGGAGTCCACAAAAAATAAGTTTAACCACGAACACTGTAATAGACTATCAGGGTTGGCAGGGACCAGGAGGTCTTTTAGTCCAATCCCCTGCTCAAAGCAGGGCCAATCCCCAATTTTTGCCCCAGATCCCTAAATGACCCCCTCAAGGATTGAACTCACAATCCTGGGTTTAGCAGGCCAATGCTCAAACCACTGAGCTATCCCTCCCCTTTTCATATTTGTCTAGTGCTCTGTACACAAGCCAGTGCTGTAGGAGAATTTGAAGTTTCCTGCTGTCTCTTAATAAAGTTTTTCTATTTTAAGTTAAAGTAAAAGTTCAATAAACCTGTTTGTTGGGTTCCAGTTCCTACCGAACTACTTGTCTTGTGATTCCCCATGTCAATAAACAAGTCATAAGTAATGCAGAACTTGTTTCTGATCCCTCTTTGTTTATGAATGAATGAATTGCTGTAAATCCATAAAGTGTTGCCTACTCAAATAAATCTGAATAAGGAAGGATGAACTAAATTCATATTATAGTCAAAATAAAGCCAATGATTTGCAGTCATTCTTCAAGAATAAATTCACTCCATTCACATGTCCAGAAAAACATGAAATGAAAATGTATGAATAAAACAATTGAAATTCATTTGCATTTGTGAATGTTAATCATTACGTAAGTCAATGAATAAGATGGCGAGTGTGTAAGATGAGTACAGTGAAGAAGGAAAATGATGAAAAAATGCTGCTGGTGTGTCCACATTACAAATCTTAAGACTGCGGATAGAGCTGGGTCTGGAGAAAGCTGGCTCATCCTCAGACTGATAAGTTAATTCACTAAGTGGTGGATGGTAGCCATTCTACGCTTTTAGTGTCTTCAGTCTGTTAATAAATCATGTGTCAGCATCTGATTGTGACCTAGAAGTGGAGTGTTTTTCCTATACCATATTTGTTACTTCCTGTATAAAGGGTATAATGCGCTGAATACTGGCTGACCAGCTAGTATGCTGGTTCCCAAATACTAGACTCATAACAGTATTTCAGGCATTTATACTAGCACTGTAGGTCCCCATCCCTGCCTTAATGATGAGCTGATATGCCTGGTCCTTGTGAACTGCAGTTCCTACCTCTCATCAGCCTAGTGTGCTTTAACCCACAAAGGCTCTGTCTGCCAGAAAGTTGGAAACCATCCACCCTAACTTGTGGAAGAAGAGGGTGTGTGGGAGAAATCCATCTTGAAATAACAAAGTGAGCAGAAAATAAGTCTCCAGGCCAAAATGTTCAAACTCTCATGCGTATATTAGGCACCTGAATCCACACACAGACACCTAAATAAGTGGTCTAAATTTCTGAGATACTGAGCACCCAGTACTTCCAGTTAAGTCAATAGGTGTTGTATGGACTCAGCATCTCTGAAAATCAGGCCACTTATCCGCTTACTGAATCTAACTATAAATTTAGCTTCCTAAATGTAGGCATCCAAATTTGAAAATGTTAGCCTTATTGTCTAGGTAGCTTATACAGTTGGAACAATTCTTCTCTCCAGTAATCGCCCACTCCGTTTCCCCCACTAGCTCCAGCCCAAATATGCAATTTAGAAATTTTATAACATAAGTGATGTATTTTTTTAAACTTTGTTGGTAGGTGTCAAACCATTCAAATGTTCTCTTTGCGAATATGCCACTCGCAGCAAGAGTAATCTGAAAGCTCATATGAATCGCCACAGCACCGAGAAAACGCACCTGTGTGATATGTGTGGAAAAAAATTCAAATCAAAAGGCACTTTGAAGAGTCATAAACTCCTCCATACTGCTGATGGTGAGTGGATGTTTGACAGATTGAAGCTTATGCATTTGGGTGCTAGATATTGTCTAAATTTTAGCACATTAGTGGAAATGCAATTTTTCTGTGATCAGTGAGCCTGAATATATCAGATTTTCTTTACTCACAAGTAAAATTTTGAAATATGGAGTGTCACGGTTTAGGGCAACTACACCTGTATTTCTCCTCCGTAGTTCCTTAAGGGCATCCACTCTAGGCTCCCAGTTCCTCAGCCATCACCTCTCTTGAGCACAGACCTTCGTCTCTGTCCTTCCTGACTGGGGCTTTTCCAGTTTGCAGAGTTCCCAGCCTACATGACAATATTCTCAACAATCCAGACTGTCTAACAGGCAAGTATCTGTGCTTTGCTTTCCCTCCCGAGGCTACGAACAACGTAATTTCCAACAGTTATAAGTTACCATACAGCTCTTTCTAAGCTAGCACATATATTCTTAAGGTGAAAAACATTACAGAGAAGACATATTAAAAACAATCAAAGAATGTAATGCTTTCTAAAAAACTTTCCAGAGGTCACCCAACTCTAACCTAAAGCTCTGGTACATCAGTCCTTCAAAACCATAACTGGGTTTCCCTGTGGTTATAAGTTCATAACTGTCTCAGATTCAGAACCAGACCCACCATGAATAGTTCAGTCTTTCCTTTATACAGCTTGGGTTTTTGATCTTGGTCTCATGTAACAGGTGATGAGACAAAGGCCCACTCCTGAGGGCATAGCTTCAAAAGGCTGGGTTTTTACCTAACCCGACATGGGAAATTTGCATTCACCTCCCACTAGATATTCTCCAGGAAAAACACTTAACACTTTTTGTTCCAGGAGTCCATTCTTCTCTGGCACATGGTTCAATATAGTCCTCTGAATTCCCAGGTCTCCCATGTGTTGCATCTCCCCCCTTGAGAGGTTACGTAAAATCCCAGTCCACACTGATATATAAACCATTCGCTTAATACAGTAGATCGTAAAGATACTTAAACTGAATTCAATAAGATCTCCCAAGGATATGGCAGGAAATTGCCATGTCTGTTGCATGAAGCCATTGAAGATGTCTCATGATTAATTTGTATAAATGGAGAGACAGCTAACTACCAAAGATTCGATCTTCTAAAATGCTCGTTTGGCTTCTTATCCTTTAGATATAAAATTCCATATGCAGAGCTCCTGCTGATATCAGTGGGAGTTTGGCAAATGGAAGAATTGCAGGATCAGAACCATAATCTTTCTTTATATGAAGTTACGTTCTTCTGTTGCATTTGCATACATTTTTGTTAATGCACTAACATTGTCTTCTAATACTTCTACTCTTTTGCGATCTCCCTTTCCATCACATTTTGATGATTTATTTTGAAATTAGATTTTCATTTCACTGTATACTTCACAATAGAGGATTTATATTTCAAATTATGGTTTATCCCAATGTCCCAATGAAACCAAAATAAGAAGATGTAAACAGAAATGTTGTGGGCACATGTAATTATTGTAATATTCACTAGAATCACTAAATCACTCCCAATTGCTATTTTCCTAAAATAATAATAATTCAATAAATAATTGTACTTTCCAGTAGTCCCAATGTAATTTGATCCAGAGGACCTACTTTTCAAGCCTGACCCAAATCCAAGCACAGCCAACCTGACCTGAGAATGCCAAGTCGTTTTGGAACTGACCCGACCCAAACCTGCCACTTGCCCCGCAAACTTGGTCAGCGCCACGACCTCGTTCTGGGGCTCATCCTGGTAGGGCCCCAAGCCTGTGATCCATCTCTGACTGCCTCCTGCCTGTGGGGTCAGTGCAGCGGTGGTTCTGTGCTCCGTTCCTGCCAGCCACCGTCATGCCTCTCTGCACTGTGTGCACTGCAGAGTGAGAGGTTCTATCACTCGTTGGCGCACACATTTTGCAGTGCATACAGCATAGCAAGATGGTGGTAGCAAGCAGGAGCGGGGCATGCCAACTCCGCACCAACACCGCAGGATAATAGGAGGTGTTCAGAGGTTACTCAACCTGAGAGGGTTAGGTTGTTTTCATACCTGATCTGAACCCAACACTTGTAGTCAGGTCCAGTTGAGTTGGAGTCAGGTTGCAGGGCTCTAACCGGATTAACACTAGCACAATAATGAGTCAGTCTAAATGATGTAGTATGGCTGTATTTTGGAATAAAATGAATAACTAATAAATTAACTGTCCTATGCTGAATTGTGTTTCTTTGATTTGTTGTTTATATAATTGAGTCAAAAGGAAATTTTGGGATGTCATTTACAAAGAAGCATCTTATGTTTTTGACTGCATGCTCATACTTAGTATTACCAGCTATTAGGTAAGGGTAGGTTTTACTATGAAAATCTAGTAAAATCTTATTTTGTCTTTTGCTCTTACGGCTTAATTTTAAAAAAACTACCGTTTGCGTTTTCATTCACAGATTTTCATGTATAATTATTTTCATGTGGAGATAATAAAATTTGGACATGAAAACGTTATTTGTGTTTGTAAATCAGGCAGTTCAATGTCTGATCTATTTCATGTGTGCAAATAAGTGATTGTTGTGCTACTTTATAGACTGGGAGGACCTTAACTTGACTCAAACTTGACCATAATGAGAATAGGGCTATAGTCGCACAGGCTTTGCCTAGACTAATTTATAAAGGTGTGGTGTTAGGACACGTTAGCTAAGGTGTTTTTACTAACATCTTCCAAAATTGTAGCATAGACTAGGTGATGTGTACTTTTAACACACGAGCTGGTTGAGTTGAAGCCTTGGCTACAGGTAGGGTTGCCAACTCTCCAGGATTACTCTCCAGGAATTAAAGATTATGTCATGTGAGGAAACCTCTAGGAATATGTCCAACCAAAATTAGCAACCCTAGGTACAGGAAAAACAAATATGTGCCCAGTAGCCTTTATTGTTAGGGCTCAGACTGCCATCTTCCTCTGGAGTATATGAGATGACTTTGCTCTTCCAGCTGCTGCTGTTTCTCAGTGATGTAAATAGATCTGGATCTCCTCCCTTTCCATTGCCTGCTTTTTCCTCTTTAGTTCCTTTCCAAAATTCTATGTGTGAAATCCTGCCCCATTGAAATCAGGTGGGAGTTTGAAAATTGCTTCACTGTTTCTGTCTTCCTGGATTATGAAATCAGGCATTTTTTTGTTCAAACTACAGCCCTGCAGGGTCAGTTTAACCCACTAGAAAATAGTGTTTTTTTTTTCTCTGCTTTATTCCTCTCAAGAGTGCTATGACAGAAAACAATTCAATCGTCTAGGCTGATTACAGTTTATGACTAGAAATGAAGCATAGAACCTGACTTTCATTATTTTAATTAGGTAACAAAAAATTATTTCAAGATTTTTCTTAGCTGTTTTTATTGGAGCTGTCACTTTCAGTATAAAAAATTTAAAGAAACTGCCCTGTTTCGTGACAAGCAGGAGTGAATCTGCCTTTTCCACTTTTGCCTTGGTTCTTTTAGTTTTGACGCTTTTCTAACAAGCATTTAAAATTGTTTGGACAAATAAAGCTCTGTGGTATGGAAATCCTGGAAGTAGGAAGATCTCTCCGTCGCTCTCGCTCCGCATTTTAATATTCCCCATACTTATGGTGTCTGAACTCATAACTAAGGGAGGAAGATGAAGAATGGAGGAATAGAGAAGAACATGAGAAGAGAGAATGAGAGGAAAGAAGGAGAATATTTGTTTTCAAATCAAGAGGAAGGAGAGCATAAAAAAAGAGAGAAAACAAGCAAATGTTTTTTGGGGGGGGGAAGTGAATGGTGGGGAGATAGGGTTGAGATAGAATGAGTTTGAGAGTTCCAGCATAGCACTTCCTAGCTTTAAAAAGCCTCAAACAAGAGATCCTCTCCTTGAAATGTAAGAGAGATTTCAGTCCCATTGGTGAATAGGGTCATCATGAAATACATTGTTCCCACATTTGACTATCTCGATCCCCTTCAGAATGCCCCTACTTCGTAGACTCATAGATTCAATATTTTCATTAATGATTTGGATAGTGGAGTGGAGAGTGTGCTTATAAAATTTGTGGATGATGCCAAGATGGGAAGGGTTGCAAGCACTTTGGAGAACAGGATTGAAATTCGAATTGACCATCATTGTTCCTAACTAAATAATTCCAATACTGTAGTTAATTACAGCTACTGTTAAAAATGTTGTGCCTGATTTGTAGTCTGAATTTGCATTACTTCAGCTTACAATCATTGAAATTCAGGCTACGTCAATCCATGACTACATTCTCCAGTGTTCCAAATGGGTGACAGCGAAATTATATCTTTTTGGTCACTAGAAACACAAGTACATGGTAGATGCCTCCAAGATAACTCACTTGTTTTCTAGGCATCAGCAATAGCTTGAAGTTGCTGTCATCTAAGTGACTAGGTAATATGGTGACCAGATAACACTTTTACATGTCCCTAGTTTCTAGGTAATAGATATTTTTCCAGTCTGCCTACAACACTCCTAGTCTTTTAGTTATGGGCTCCTTTTGAACACAGACTGGCAAGGTAAGGTTAAAAAAATCACATTCACTATAGTTTTTTTCCTCAGTCACACATTGAACCCGGGCGTACAGAAGTGAAAGGTCTGAGCACAAAGTCTCAGTACCGCTTGGCATGTTAACATACTATTTTATATTTATTTTGCTTATTTCTGTTTGGCCGCTTTTGGGGTTTTTTGTCTTTATTTACAAGGATCCCTTTCAAGACTGTTTGAGTCATTATTTTAAGATCGTAGTAAACACGCCAATAAAAATCATTTGTCGAAGACCAGCCGCAATAATTTATAGTATTCTAAAAATAAATCCAGTGAGTGTCAAAAATATAAAAATGTACATGAGTCATAACATTTGGAAGATTGGGACAGAGATGGAACAAACACCTGCAACAGGCATGTCTGAACATCTGTCTTTTAAGAACTACGTTATTTACAACCAAATAAATGTGCTTGCAGCTATATTTTTGCAAAGCCGCAATGATGTGCACTGGCCATTTAAGATAAAGCGTGTTCTTTCCCCAATGGCTATCCCAAGTAATATATCCACTGTTTAACACTTGTAATTAAAAATAGCAGGCAAAGGCTCATTCTGTCCTATTCTGTTCAGCCCTATTTGACCAGAATTTTGCAAAACTTGGCTCTCTATTGATACTAAATTCTAATAGATAAGTTTACAATATTTGGTTGTCCTTACTCTGTTGAGAATCATCTTTATAATGAAATATCATTGATAGATTGCCTCTTCATATTTAAATACAGAAAGCTATTTGAACACATTTTCCATTTCTGTTTTAGGAAAGCAGTTTAAATGTACAGTGTGTGACTATACTGCAGCTCAAAAGCCACAGCTCCTACGTCACATGGAACAACATGTCTCTTTCAAGGTAAGAGGCAAATAAGCCATGATTAATTAATACTCATGGAGTGCAATAATCATTCAAACTAAAGTACACCTGGAATAAAAAGGGTTCAAATCAGTTAATGATTTGTGCTGGCCAAAGTAGAATAGATATAAATAACTGTTGTTTTAGTGTGTCATATCATTGTATGATGATATGCTGTCAGGTTGTTCGTAATGTACTTACTGTTTTTACTTGTCACAATTTTTGGACTTATTTACAAATTATTTTTGTATATTACTCCTTGTATCCTTTGTAATAGAGCGTATTTCCCCCAGCCCATCCTTGAACACTGCAAAAACAGCTCAGACTCTCTTCTTTTAGTGTCCACTTCCTATCATTTATTCAAGTCCCCTGCACTGCCATTTGTACAATACTAAACAACTATTCTAATACTTATGATCCTTTTATCTTCAGCCCCTGTTTGTCACAGTCCTGTGAGGAAAAGAGATCTCTCCTCCTTGAAATTTCTTTCAGTCTGGGCACAGCTAGCCCTGTTCTCCCCCCCTTCCTAACACTTCTTTCCTTCCTTTTATCAAACTAGTCAGCTGATGGCCAATTAGTTCCTTAACTCACCCAGCCGCCCTCTCTGATTAGCTAATTCCTCCCTATTTCCTCAATCAACCATCACTGGGGAAACTAATTGAGGCTACGGAGATCAGAGTGCTGACCCATGTATTAGACCTCAGTATTTTATCACACACCTCACCAACGTGTGTTTTTTTCCCTTGCTCGCTCCCTCCCTCCTTGTAGGAGGCACTTGCTTCTTTATACTCTAGTTTGCACCCAGAGTGGTCTTGTAGGGTCCCCTTTCTGGGTCCTTCCATCCTCCACCCATAAATCATGTTTTAAGGGTGGAGGACATCCCCATAATTCAATCTCAGCTCACAGATCTTCACACCACTGAAAACCTGTAGGCCCATTCTCCTTATCGTCTTCCCCCTTGTCTTGGGGTAGGAACTGCTGTGGTCCCTTGTTCTCCTCCTCCCTAAGGCCTCTGGTTCTCCCAGTCCCACAAACTGACCTCTGGGTTCCGACCATCCTCACCCTTCCTGCAGCGTAGGTTCTCGGAATCATCCAACTCCTGGGACTGAGCTTGGGCTGCTCTTCTCCCCCAAGCCTAGTTCTACCTTTTCCCTTTTTCTCCTTGTCTTCCCCTGGAGTGGTTCTGTTTTCCTCCTGACTTGTATCATTCCATCTTCGGTGTCTGATTCTATTAACTCGGGCCCTTCTTCCTCATTTGCTCTTGTTTTACCCATATAGAGCCCCAGCTGCCTGCTTTCTTTCTATAGGTGAAAGGGCTCCAATCCGCACCTACTATGACCAAATGGGGTAGCCTCTCCATTACTCCCACCTGCTTCTGCCTAAACTTCCCCTTTACCTATAGGGTTAGCTCTGCTATTGGATAGAGACTCTTCTCCCCATGGATGCATTCTAGCTCTGCTTTTTCTTCCAGGAGTCTCCAGTGGGGCTTCAATGAATATCCCAAGATAGTATTCACAATCCCCCTTAGGCACCTCCTTCCCACTTTTATAGGGACAGTAGGTGATTTTATTTTTATCCTGCCCCCAAGAGTACCATCTATTTGCAGAATTCTGCAAACTCGCATTCCATCTTAGGGCAGTGGTGTTTTACATGTCTCGGCCTTCCACGCTGATAGCGGGCTATTACCTACAAGAGTTCCTTTCACCTCCTCCCTTTTCTTCTTGTGGCTTTTCAGTTCACAACCCCTCCCTCACTCTGCACCCTAGGTGACTGGACCTCTTTTCTCAGAAAATTGGCTTCTTAGGAACTCTTCGGAGAGTTTAATCGCAGTCTCCAGAAGTTAGAGTGGTGCCTCCTCACCCAGTCTCTGTTATTTTCCTGTTATTTATGTCTATGTATCTCAGGAGAGCTCCTTCCTGCTTAGATAGAAAAGCTTCCTTTGCTTGCTTTCTTTTTCTGAATGTTGTCCCAGAGAGGCATTTTCTTCTTTCACTCATGACTGGTGTTCTGTGCCAGCTATAGTGGCTCTCAATACTCAATTGAAGGGGACAGATAAGCAGGCTGGTAGCAGGGCCTGAGTGACAGAAGATATCAGCATCTTAAGGGCCTTACTGGCTGCTATTATTTCAGTTGACTTCCTGTTCTCCTCAGGTGGGTTCAGGGAACCAGCAGGAAACAGGAAGCTCCTTGAGAAGCTGGTGTTAATCAGCCCAGGCTCCTCGGGGTGCTAGAGAGGTACATAAGAACATAAGAATGGCCATACTGGGTCAGACCAAAGGTCCATCCAGCCCAGTATCCTGTCTACCAACAGTGGCCAAGGCCAGGTGCCCCAGAGGGAGCGAACCTAACAGGTAATGAATGATCTAGTGATCTCTCTCCTGCCATCCATCTCCACCCTCTGACAAACAGAGGCTATGGACACCATTCCTTACCCATCCTGGCTAATAGCCATTAATGGACTTAACCTCCATGAATTTATCCAGTTCTCTTTTTTAAACTCTGTTATAGTCCTAGCCTTCACAACCTCCTCAGGCAAGGAGTTCCACAGGTTGACTGTGCGCTGAGTGAAGAAGAACTTCCTTTTATTTGTTTTAAACCTGCTACCCATTAATTTCATTTGGTGTCCCCTAGTTCTTATATTATGGGAACAAGTAAATAACTTTTCCTTATTCACTTTCTTCACACCACTCATGATTTTATATACCTCTATCATATCCCCCCTTAGTCTCCTCTTTAAGGAGAAGCTGAAAAGTCCTAACTTCTTTAATCTCTCCTCATATGGGACTGTTCCAAACCTCTATTCATTTTAGTTGCCCTTTTCTGAACCTTTTCTAATGCCAGTATATCTTTTTTGAGATGAGGGGATCACATCTGTACGCAGTATACAAGATATGGGCGTACCATGGATTTATATAAGGGCAATAAGATATTCTCCGTTTTATTCTCTATCCCTTTTTTAATGATTTGCAACATCCCATTTGCTTTTTTGACTGTTGCTGCACATTGCGTGGACGTCTTCAGAGAACTATCCACAATAACGCCAAGATCTTTCTCCTGAGTAGTTGTAGCTAAATTAGTCCCCATGATATTGTATGTATAATTGGGGTTATTTTTTCCAATGTGCGTTACTTTACATTTACCCACATTAAATTTCATTTGCCATTTTGTTGCCCAATCACTTAGTTTTGTGAGATCTTTTTGAAGTTCTTTACAGTCTGCTTTGGTCTTAACTATCTTGAGCAGTTCAGTATCATCTACAAACTTTGCCACCTTGCTATTTACCCCTTTCTCCAGATCATTTATGAATAGGTTGAATAGGATTGGTTCTAGGACTGACCTCTGGGGAACACTGCTAGTTACCCCTCTCCATTCTGAAAATTTACCATTTATTCCTACCCATTGTTCCCTGTCTTCTAACCAGTTCTCAGTCCATGAAAGGATCTTCCCTCTTATCCCATGACAACTTAATTTACGTAAGAGCCTTTGGTGAGGGACCTTGTTGAAGGCTTTCTGGAAATCTAAGTACACTATGTCCACTGGATCCCCCTTGTCCACATGTTTGTTGACCCCCTCAAAGAACTCTAATAAATTACAGAAACCATGTTGACTTTTGCGCAACAATTTGTTCTTCTATGTGTCTGACAATTTTATTCTTTACTATTGTTTCAACTAATTTGCCTGGTACTGATGTTCGACTTACCAGTCTGTAATTGCCAGGATCACCTCTAGAGCCCTTCTTAAATATTGACGTTACATTAGCTAACTCTAACTCAGGAACCAATCCATGCAACAAATCTTGATGCCAACTCTGCCCACATATCTACACCAGCGACACCATCACAGGACCTAACCAGATTGGCCACACCATCACTAGTTCATTCACCTGAACGTCCACAAATGTAATCTACACCATCATGTGCCAGCAATGCCCCTCTGCTATGTACGTCAGCCAAACTGGACAGTCCCTATGTAAAAGGATAAATGGACACAAATCAGATATTAGGAATGGCAAGATAGAAAAACCTGTAGGAGAACACTTCAACCTCGCTGGACACACAATAGCAGATTTAAAGGTAGCCATCCTGCAGCAAAAAAACTTCAGGACCAGACTTCAAAGAGAAACTGCTGAGCTTCAATTCGTTTGCAAATTTGACACCATCAGCTCAGGATTAAACAAAGACTGTGAATGGCTCGCCAACTACAAAAGCAGTGTCTCCTCCCTTGGTGCTCACACCTCAACTGCTAGAAGAGGGCCTCATACTCCTTGATTGAACTAACCTCGTTATCCCTAGCCTGATTCTTGCTTGCGTGTTTATACCTGCCTCTGGAAATTTCCACTACATGCATCCGACAAAGTGGGTATTCACCAACGAAAGCTTACGCTCCAATATGTCTGTTAGTCTATATAAGGTGCCACAGGACTGTTTGCCGCTTTTACAGATCCAGACTAACACGGCTACCCTTCTGATAACTAATAGATTAGTAAAACATGATCTCCCTTTACAGAAACCATGTTGACTTTTGTGCAACAATTTATGTTCTTCTATGTGTCTGACAATTTTATTCTTTACTATTGTTTCAACTAATTTCCCCAGTACTGATGTTAGACTTACCAAGATCACCTCTAGAGCCCTTCTTAAATATTAGCGTTGCATTAGCTAACTTCCAGTCATTGGGTACAGTAGCTGATTTAAAGGACAGGTTACAAACCATAGTTAATAGTTCCACAATTTCACATTTGAGTTCTTTCAGAACTCTTGGGTGAATGCCATCTGGTCCTGGTGACTTGTTACTGTTAAGTTTCTCAATTAATTCCAAAACCTCCTCTAGTGTCACTACAGTCTGTGACAATTCCTCGGATTTGTCACCTACAAAAGACAACTCAGGTTTGGGATAATCCCTAACATCTTCAGCCGTGAAGACTGAAGCAAAGAATTCATTTAGTTTCTCCGTGATGACTTTATCATCTTTAAGTGCTCCTTTTGTATCTCGATCGTCCA